TTGGGTGCCTCCGAGTGTGTGCGCGCTCCACTACTTGGTGGGGAGGGGTGGGGGGAGGGCTTGGGGGAAGGGGGAGTTGGAACCGGGGTCGAAACGCCGCGTGACTTGTAGGTGAGGGAACGCCGAGCGGTCGCCGCAGCCTCCGCCGCCGAGAAGCCCTTGTTCCCGCTGCCGGGAAGGAGCGTCTGGTGCCGACAAGATGGCGGACGGGGAGCTGAACGTGGACAGTCTCATCACCCGACTGCTGGAGGGTGAGTCGGGGCCCGGCCGGCCTCGGGGAGGGGTCGCGTCCCTCTGCCCTCTCTTCCCCTCCGCCGCCGGAGTCCTAGGGGACCCCCCTTTCCCGCCCCGAGGCGCCTGCCGAGGAGTGGGCGAAGAAACTGGTGGGCCTGGGGGAGCGGCCTCAGGGAACACGGCCGGGCGAGGCAGGACGAGAGGGGCTGTCCTCGCGGGCGGGCAGTGCCCCCGCGGACCTTCAGGGACCCGCACGGCGGCGCGCGGGCCCGGGGGTTGCGAGGAGCCCCGGGGTGCTGGGTGACCCTTCCCAAGGAAGGTGCCAAGATGCGTGCTCCTGTGCATTGTACGCTGGTGGAACGTGTATTTCTCCTCTGTTCTCTTTGTGCCTTGCCCTTGGCTGCCTTCAGTTCTTGTTCCGGGAGGGAATTTTATTAAAAATTTTCTCCTTGAGACGATTCTTTGATCTCTTCAGCAATTTTACATGATGCTACAGGACGAACTTTATTTAAGGAGAAGATAACATTAGCGGGAGTTGAGTACCTCCCATTTGTTATTTAGCTTTAAAGAATAGTAAAACAAAAGTCTTTGATCGAGCTGAAATGCACACAAGAAATATGAAATATATAGACATGTTTGCTGAAGGTATTGATTATCAGATTTGAGAATTTTAACAGGTTTGAGCAGTTTTCGGAACAAACTTAGAAATGGTATATTGTAAAGCCATTCTTGTATGTAAGAGACATTTACAAGTCTTTGCAGCTTTTGAAGTTTTTGGGCCCTTCTGTTTTTAATTGGATAGTTTTGTTAGGGACGGGGATTGAGGGAAAGCGAAGAGATGGAGAGGCCGGGATATTATTCAAAGTCAGCCGCGGTCTTCTGCCAGTGAATCTCTTTACGCAAAAATTTGCGTCGTCACTAACTGCTTTTTGTGAGTGTATAGGAAAGAAATTAAGCCATTTTTCAAAATCTTAGAGTCCTCTGTCAGAAACTGTCGAAGGATTGCATATGTATTGTTACTTATTTTCAAATTTCCTGAAGATAATTGCTGCAGTGAAGCAGTATGTACTTAACGTTTGGAAAAATAATCACAGAAGATTGTATGATTGGGGGGCGGCGGGAAAGGCGCTAGTTCCTTTTTTAAACCAGTGTGTTGGTGTCTCATCAGTTCTGTGTGTACTAGTTGTGTAACAAACTACAGTGTTTTTGCTCCAGATGTTAAAGCCTTCCTTCAGTGTTAAGACTGAATACGAAGCAAAGTTTTACCAAGAACTCTTATTTGCCTTTTCTTTTACTATCAAGTTATTCCTGGGAGGCCCCCTGGTGCCTGTAGTCTGTGTTCACTATTTAAAGACTGGATTTTAACGGATGTGAACATCTTGCTAGTGAGACATTTGCTTTGGAAAAAAAAATTTTTTTTGTAATTATGCGTTGTTCTAAGAGGGAAATATAGCTGCTTTAAAATTTCAATGTCTTGTTGACTTTGGGGGATACTTATGACCACCACTAATTTTTATACATTTTAAACTTGGCTTGTAAATTTAAGTATGTAAAAATCTGATGCTGTATCTCAGCTTCTTCGATTTGTTTTCCGTATATTTACCTATTTATATACTTTATAGGCATAAAACAGTAGAGGTATCTGTTTTAAAATGTTTGATATGGGACCTTTAAAGTCAGATATATCTTTTTATGCTTATAGATAATTAAGAGACTGCACTGGTGGATTGTTTGAGGTTATTGGGGAAAAGATGCCAGGGGGAAAATAGGCAGTGATTCTATTTGTTTCTGTGAATTCAAATTACATAAGGGCTCTGTTCTGGTTTGGTTGATCTTTTTCTTTCATTTTCTTTTCTTCTTCTTTTTTTTTTTTTTTTTTTTTTTTTTTTTTTTTGGTTTGAGAATTCTAGCCCAGACATTTTCCCCTTTTAAATTAGCAGAAATTTATTGACCTGCTTTGTGCTAGTCACCAGGAATCGAAAGGTAAGACTCAGTCTCTTCATTCAAGGAACTCCCAATCTGAACAAGTGATTTTCAGGCCTTTTCAGCCTGCTCTCTGTCAGTAAAGTGTATCATTACTTGCTTCTTAGTCCTGGGAAGTATATTTAGTTTTGACAGTGTCTCCTTGGGATTCTTAAATTCTCAAGGCTCCTCTTCTCCTTCCAACCTTTCCAAAATCTAGACTTGTTCAAAGACATCCAAAACAGACTTGGATTTTCTAATAAGTAATTATTTTTTGTCTTAAATTTTTGTCTGCCTTGATTTTTAGTGATGTTACATGCTAATTAAATTAACTCAAATTAAAGTAAAGCTGCCTAGCAGAATAGCTACAGTTATTGGGGCTTGTTTGTTTGTTTGTTGTTGTTGTTTAGGTATTAAATAAACGTGCAAGTTAAAATTTGGCCTGAATTTCTTTACATCAGGAGGGAAATCAGCAGGACTTGATCTCAATTTAAAAAGTTGATTGTAGTTCCACAACATTTTCTTGATTCTTTTTTATTACATCAGATTACTAATTAGCTGTAACACTTCTAGTAGTTTTGTGAGTTGCTTTGTGTTTTCCTTTTTCAGGTGGGCAAATCATGTAAATTTTCAAAGCACCTTTTACATTTAATTTTTTGTTTTTGTTTAATGCAAAGCAGTATACTAATTTATTGTTTGGATAGTGCATATTCCTCCGGTGTATTTTCTTGGGTTAAGTTTTACTTAACCGCAGATCAAAGATCTTTACCACTCTATCCTCTGTAGTGACCCCATTACCACATTCGTGTGACCTATAGTGCTTTTGAGTGATTGTTTAAACTGAAGCTAGTTCTTGAGTATCCTGGAAAATCCAGTAAAAGCTTTTTACTCTGATCAGTGGCTCCAAAAGGAGTTAAAGTGGAAGTGGGAGTATAGCAGAATCACCTGGGGAACTTTATTCAAACTACAAATACTGAGTTTACTTTGGAAGAAGTGAAATAGAATGAGTAGAATATGCCTGTTTGGGAAGAGGAAGAGCAGTTGTGGAAAACTGCTTCCCGATGGTTAAGATAGTGCTAGCTCTGTTCCCAACCACAGACTTCAAGTGTTTAAAAACTGGACAGTATCAGTTGATGATAACTAATGTATGCCTATTATATATATATTACATATATCTCATATTTGATTATATAATATCATTATTTATATCATATATACATTTAAAACTGTGAGTGGGTTTTGCTTTTTTTTCTGATTATAAAAGTAAGCATTCTTACTGTAGAAAACTTGTGAAACAGTGAGGAATTAAAACCCAAGTCCCCCTCTTAATTCCACGATCTGGAGATAACTTGTTGAAATTTTGATGCATTTTTGTTCATGTTCTTTATATCATTAGAATATTGTTTATATAGCCTTATGAGTTAACGTCTCAAGTATTTCAAGAACATTTTTCCTTGTCATTGAAGTGTATTCTGAAATACTTCAAATGCTGTTTGCTGTATGATAAAAAAAGAAAGTATTTTTTTAAAATTTTTTTTATTTTGCCACAAAGCTAAGCTTGAATATTACAAGATGAATTGTAGAATATTAGCACAATATTAGTAGCCTATTAGTATAAACTTAACGTGGCAGAATATGATTGTGTTTATATTTTTGGCCCACTAATAGCTTTATGAAAATCTTGGGGCGTGAGTGTTTTTGTTTTGTGTTTTTAATCCATTTTTCATTTAATCTCAATCTGTCAGATGTCTCAGCTTGTGGAACTGCTGTGATCATCTAGTGTATATCTCCCCTTTGCTTTCTTGTGGATCATGTACTGTTAACATTTTAGTTACACTGACTAAGCAGATGGGAAGTTCCTCTTCTGT